AAATCGATATACCATTACCCACGAGCACTGTCCCGTATGTTGCATGATGGTGCATAATGCAGGATCATTGACGCAACTTGACGGTCATGGTTCGGTGGTGTTCTTAACTCACTGTCAGATGCCTTGCGCAGGAGGAGGGGGTCGCTGTGTAATAATTTTGCATTTTGGTGTAATTAGATTTTTTTTTTTTTTTTGTCTCTCTCTCTCTCTCCTTTCTCTCTCTCTCTCTCTCTCTCTCTCTCTTCTCTCTCTCTCTCTCTCTCTCTCTCTCTCTCTCTCTCTCTCTCTCTCTCTCTCTCTCTCTCTCTCTCTCTCTCTCTCTCTCTCTCTCTCTCTCTCTCTCTCTCTCTCTCTCTCTCTCTTCTCTCTCCTCTCTCTCTCTCTTATATATATAATAATATATATATATATTATTATATATATATATATATATATATATATATATATAATATATATACTTATATATATACATATATATACATATAATATATATATATATATTATATATATACATATATATATATATATATATATATATATATATATATATATATAGTATATATATATATAATATAATATATATATATATAATATATATATTATTTCTCTCTCTCCTCTTTTCCTTTTGGGAGTATCTAAACTTTATATTCCTTCGTTTTTCATTTGGTCCTGAAGAAAAGCCCAGGTGGCTGTTCTAGAAATATCTTGCATTATATACCTTCTTTGGTTTTATCCCTGCCAAAATTCCGACTTGAAAAAACCCCCCCCCGCACAGCAAGAATTGTCACTCTAGATTGAATAAACGCAAATAAAACGCAAGATGGAGGGAAAGTATTCCAAACATACGTTTTTGTCCAATTTTCTCTTGAACAAGTTCCTCATGTTTCCGTTAAGAAATCTCACGAAAACATGAATCAATATAAGAAAAAAAAGACTGCATCCACCCATCAGAAAAAAAAAGGAAACAACGCCGCCACATGATGTTCGCGGCGGTTTTTTTCCCCTGCTGGTCTGGCCCATCAACATTCCCCTTAATTATTTTTTCCCGCGGGGTCAAACGTCCATAGCAAGTGTTGAGACCTCTTGACCTCCTCCGCGTGGCCGGTTATCCTCTCGGGAGTCCACTCCGGGCTGATGTGCGTAGAAAAAAACTGATATAGAAAAAAGTCCTGATCTAATCCTATAGAATCTATATGCAAAATTTCCTATAAGCAGAGTTTTCGTTGAGTCATCTTGCTCAAGTGGCAATCAGGGATTTTTTTTCCCCGGCTCAAACTGTCCATGCACTTCCCTTAATATTTTCCCCCGGCTCAAACTGTCCATAGCATGTGACCTCTGACCTCCGCCGTGCCGTTATCTCGCGCCACTTCCGCTGAGTGGCGAGAAAAAACTGAATATAGAAAGTCCTGATCTAAATCTATATGCAAATTTCCTACTAGCAGATTCGTTGAGTCATCTTGCTCAGAGTGGAGCAACGGAATTTTTTTCCCGTTTTTTCTTTTCTCCTTCTTTTCTTTTTCTTTTCTTTTTTTTCCTCGTTGGTATATATCTCGGGTTTTAAAGTTTTTTCTCTCTACTTCTGTAAATTTGTATTTCTCTTTCTTTGTTTTTTCTCTTCTCTTCTAATTAAGTTTCTCTGCTTGTAATCATTGGTGACGAACACGCCAAACGGCACCACACACAAAACACGCACACCACACACCACCACCAACCACACACACACCAACCACAACCACCACCACACACACACCACACACACACCACACACAACACACACACCAACACACACAAACAACACACTCATGTGCAGCGCGATTGCGCAATGTAGATACACACTTCATCGTATCTTAAATCTAATAATCTCATCATTTCTTCATCTTCCTATATCTATCACTCTACCTATCATATATATCATATTCTATTAATTTTCATGTGCATCACACACTCATTATGCACTGTGGGTGGGTGCATCTTACTGTGTCTATCATTCTATCTGCCGTTTGTCCCTCTATCATACTCTTCTTCACGTTTCTATCCTATCTATAATCTCTTATTATATGTATATATGCACTCACATATATGTACGTCATCGAATTCTATGCGTGTTGTCTAACTATCTAACTATCTATCTACTTATCTATCCTATCTGTCCTTCTATTTTATCCATTATACTAACTATTTATTAGATATCTATTCTTCATCATCTATTCTATATATCTATCTATCTATCTTCATATCTATCTATCAATCTAATTTCTAATCTAAGCATTATATCAGTTCTATGTATTAGCTTATCTATCTACCATCTATCTATCCTATTCTATCTATCATCTATTTATCTATCTATCTTCTATCTATCTATCCTATCTACTCTATCTAATCATATCTATCACTATCTATCTATTTATCTATCTATCTATCTATCTATCTATTTATATGTTACACGTACATATATGTATGCATGTTCACACCCACACACACAACATATGTATTCAAGCGCATGTTCATTTATGCCATGGCAGCAAAAGCTAAAGTATAGAAGAAATATAATAGTTTAAGACTTCATTTAACTTTTGATGAACATTTTTCAAACACTTGCAAGATAAAAACAAGAACTCTTAGAAATGATATTGGTATTCCGTATTCATTAATTATGCAATATGATGGTTTATTTTAGTGAAAATATGCAAATATCATAATAATGATAATGATATAAAGTAATAAAGCTGAATAGTGACTAGTAATGTATTGGAATATATCATGATGGTATAATAATGATAATTATAGATAATAATGATGATATGGTGATGATGATAATGATGATAACAAAAATAATGAAAAATAAATGATGATAGAATAAACAAAATTGATTATGATATCATGATTATCATGATTATAACAATAATAATAATAATAATAATAATAATAATAATAATAATAATAATTAATGTGATTTCAATCACATCATCATCATCATTTTATCTCCTTATTTTATTGACCTTATTATCATCATCACCAATATTTTTACTTATATTACTATTATTAATTCAACAATGACCTTTATCGTTATCCTCACTACTGTAGGTATGCATTCTCATCATCACCTTAATGTTAATAATTATCATCAATTTCATCCATATCTTAAGTACCTCGGCCAAGAAGGTAATTAGCTAGTTTGTTGGTTAGTTGTTCAGCATGATAATTCTAGAAGTTCTGAATTGATATTTAAGATTTTTTTTTTTTTTTTTTTTTTTTTTTTTTTTTTTTCTTTAACCCAGAGGTGTGTCTTAGACCAAATGAAGTGCCATCACAGTTTGGTATGTGGCGCTCATGATCCCGGATCCAGGAATGTTTAAAGGATTCATTAGCATTTTGGGATTTTGCACTTGGATTATTATTATCAATTTTATATATTCATCATTCATCATCGCTCAATCATCGAATCTCATCATCCATCATCAATCATTCATCATCATCATCATCATCATCATTATCATTATTGTTGTTGTTTTTAGTAGTAGTGTTAGCAATAGTATTAGTATTATCATCATCATCCTTAATGTAATTGTTCAAGAGTGAATATGTTTATTGTATCAGTGTCCTTGTTGCCTGGGTGGCGGCGTATGCGCTCTTCAGACCGTTTCTACTCTACTAATTATATTACTATCCTCATGATCATTACCATTGTCATAATCATCAACATTATCGTCATCCTCTCATAATTTATCCATCATCATTTCATTTTCATTATCATCATTCATATTATCATCTATTTATCATTATCATCAATTCATTTATATCTTATCAACCTCATTTATCACTATAGGTGTCCTTATCATCATATTCCTCTGGATATCATCCTTTTTACAAATACCTTTTTATCATTCCTCAAATACTATATGTTATGTTGTAATGATTATCACCTTAATTTCAATCATTATCATTACTCTCATTATTTCGCCCAAATTCTTATTTAGTCTGATTTCATTTTTTTGTGTTGCTCAAAACATAGATAATTGTCAAGGATTTTTATAGTTCACATTATGAATATGCAAGTAAATGCTAATCATATTTCAGATGACGTAAGGAAAGTGTATATCTCGAGAGAATAAATGGATATGGGAAAAAGAAAGTGAATAAAGAAGATGAATATGAAAAAAAATGTAAACGCAAAAAATGATATCAAGAGAGAGAGAGAGAGAGAGAGAGAGGGAGAGGAGGGAGTGAGGGAGGGAGAGAAAGAGAAGGAGAAGGAGAGAGGGAGAGAGAGAGAGAGAGAGAGAGAGAGAGAGAGAGAGAGACGAGGAGAGAAGAAGAGAGAGAGAGAGAGAGAGAGACGAGAGAGAGGGAGAGAGAGGAGGAGGGAGGAGAGAGAGGAGAGGAGAAAGAGAAGAGAGAGAGAGAGAGAGAGAGAGGAGGAAAAGAGAGAGAAGAAAGAAGGAGAGAGAGAGAGAGAAGAGAGAGAAGAGAGAGCGGAGAGGAGAGAAAGGAGAAGAGAGAGAGAGACAGAGAAGAAGAGAGAGAGAGAGAGAGAGAGAGTGAGATGACAGAGAGAGAGAGAGGAAGAGAAGAGAGAGAGAAAGAGAGAGAAGAAGAAGAGAGAGCCGAGAAAGAGAGAGGAGAGAGAGAGAAAGCGAAGATGAGAGAGAGAGAGCGAAAAGAGAGGAGCGAAAGAGTGAAAGAAAAAAAGAGAGATAAAGAGAAAGTAAAATATAACAAGAGAAACAAACAAGACAACCAAAAACAAAAAAAAAAAAAACGTTCCTACAACCCCCTACCACCTCACGGACCTCCCTATCCCGCTCACTACCACTTACCTCCCCTCCCCCCCCTCCTCTCCCCTTCCCAACCCCTCCATTCACACACATCCCCCCCATCCTTAGCCCCACACTTCCCACCCACCCCCCGTCCCTCACCTGTGTATGCGAGAGATCCGACAACTCTCCCCCTCTCCCCCCCTCCCTCTCCGACCTCCCACCTTTGACCCCCCAACACCCCACCGTTCTGTTTCCTCTGTTGTAAACGTTGCAGTGAAGATAAACGTTATCGTCCTTGAGCGCCGTGACGTTCTGGGGCAGCGTGAGGTCGAACTCGGGGCGGGGGACGTTGGGTTCCCAGGGAAGGGGGCGCCGCTCCCCGTCGGGCCCCCTGGAGGGTTCGGGGGGCGCCCCACCCACGCCGTTCACGTAGTAGCTGGCGCCCATGAACTTACTCCACGCGGGCGGTCCTGGGAGAGAGGAGGAACCTGGTTAATCGATTGTCATAGTAATAATGAAGAGTAATATTGATTATTATATTGACAATAATGATAGTAATCAATACTCTAATGATCACGATAAAATGGTATTTATAGACAGATATAGTGATAGGTAGAGTGGCAGGTAGAGTGACAGACAGACAGAGCACAGAGAGATAGACATATAGGGCGAATTAGATCAGAGATAAGTAACTGACACAAAGTGACAATAAATTGATGGACAGATAGAGGTAGATAAATACATATATAGATTGATGGACAGGTAGAAAGACAAAATGGTAAATAGATATACATATACATAGATGTATGCGTTTGTGTGTGTAAGTGTATGTGTATGTGTTTATTAGTATGTTGCAAATTGATTTATCAACACTGAAAGTAATCAGTATATGAATTAGACGGTTATAAACGGTCTGTTTTCATGGCAGTGCTAATGACACAGACCAATGATTACCCCTGTTTTTTTTTCTCTTTTTTCTTTTTTTTTAGCAGCAGCTTTTTATAGTTACCGTTTATTTGCTTTCATTTGAGGTAATAACACTTGCCATAACGTCAAAAAACAATTTCACTTCATTTCTGTTTTTAAAGGTAGTAGCAAATATATGGAATGCTGATTGGATGTTGCCTTGGCTGCGATATCCAATAGGGGAAGGGAAAGAAAGGGGAGTTAGTGGAAAGCGGAGAGGGAGATAGGGAGAGAGAGAAGAGAGGAGAGAGGGGGGGGGGGGGGCGGTGGGACAGATAGATAGAAATGAAGATATATAGATAGATAAAGATAGAGTGGAGAGAGGGAGATAGGGATAGAGAGAGAGAGAGAGAGAGAGAAGAGAGAGAGAAAGAGAGAGAGAGAGAGAGAGAGAGAGAGAGAATGAGAGAGAGAGAGAGAGAGAGGAGAGAGAGAGAGAGAGAGAGAGAGAGGAGAACAAATGCAAATTTTAGCTCTCATCCAAGGTCAAAAAATAAAAGAAAATTTCATAAACACTGTTGCAACGAAATGACCTAATTCTTGTTCATCCACTTGGAATTTCACATCAAGGTCATATCTGATGCAACCTCTCTTTCCATTTTTTTTTTTTTTTTTTTTTGTGTGTTCTTTGTTCGCACGTAAAACATTAAAAAGAAATATTTTTTGCAAAAGGCCATATTGTCATTGCATTATCATTCTTTCTTCTGCAATATATCCCATTGCTATATTCATGACATCATTATTTCCTTCCCAAGTATCTACAATTATTGAAATTTTGCTTGACATTTCCCTTTTACATTTACATTTTTGTCTCTCCTGTTCTCCTTATTCCTGTTCGTTTATCACCATTGCTTTTATTCTCGACCGATCGAATCTCTTGCAGACAAATTCAAGAACAAGACTTAGGCGTCTCGATGCTCACCAGCCCCTCAAATCCATATTAATTATCATCTTTATTATTAGTCTCTTGTTTGTTATTATCATTATCATTTTTCACCATTCGTATCAACAGCTTCTTAGCTATTACCATTATCTTTGTATAATTATTATTAGTTTCTTGCTTATTATTATCATTATCATGTTCTTATTATTATCAGTCTCTCAGTTATCATCTGCATAATCATCATTATGTAATCAGTCATCATTAGCGTCTTGGTTATTATCATACTTATCTTTATACCATCATTATCAATTATCAATTATGAGTCTCATGGTCAAAGTCCTCCAAGTGCGCGGTTGGGGGGTGGAGGGGGTGAAGGGGTTAGGGGGGGGGCGAAGATGATTAAGCCTATTAATATCGATGGACCGAAAGTGGCCGGGATCATTAAGCTCGCCAGACAGGATAGTAATTAACGACAACCGCATGAAAAATCCGGCTAGAAAATCCTTTATCTTTCCTACCATGAGCTTGGATTTAACTGCGCGGTCTCGTCCTAGGCAGAGAAAAATCCAGCATGGATTATGATAGATCTATGATAAGGATAGCAGCTGCACCAATTTATTATTATAGATATCATCAAAGCATTTTCATAGTCATCCTCATCATGTCATCATCATCATCATCATCATCACCAACATAAACCTCATCATGTCATTATCATCATCATCATCATAATCATTATCATCACCATCTTTATCTTTATCCTCATCCTCATCATCCCCTTCTTCTTATCATTATTTTGATGGTTATTATGATGATCATGACGAGAATGATTTTTTTTTTTTTTTTTTTTTTTTTTTTTTTTTTTTACATTATCCTTGTTTTTATTCTTGTTTCTGTTTTCATTTATCAATGCTGTTGTTTCAGTATCGAGCGTTGGTGCCGCTGCTACAAACTTATCCTATATCTTCCTCTTCTTATTCCTTTTCTAATATCTGTTCTGATCCCTTTACCCAATATACATGAATTTCGAAAATGGTGCAAAGCGAATTTGGATTTTATACGTGTTCGATATCTCACCCCTTTCTGTAAATATTTAAAGGGGATAAAGTCAGGAGAGATCTTTCTCCTTTTTTTTTAACCCTTTCCTTTTAATGAATATTTACGCAAAGGTCTGCATATGCAAATAATGAAATGCATCTGGAATATATCGATGCCTCTATGCTTCCGGAAAAAAAAAATACTACATATGCATTCGTCCACATTGCCAGATCTCTCTTTCTATCTTTATTCATGTTGTTTTCCTGTTCTCTGCAAGTCGCTTATACAGCACAACATCATAAACACGCATGTCTGAACACATGCCGTGCGTGTGTCCATACATTCGTCAATACATTCAATACCTGACTGTATACATACATCCATACATAAAAGCATACATAGATACAAAGCGCACATACGCACGCACGCATGCACACGAGAGAGAGAGAGAGAGAGAGAGAGAGAGAGAGAGAGAGAGAGAGAGAAGAGAGAGAGAGAGAGAGAGAGAGAGAGAGAGAGAGAGAGAGAGAGAGAGAGAGAGAGAGAGAGAGAGAGAGAGAGAGAGAGAGAGAGAGAGAGAGAGAGAGAGAGAGAGAGAGAGAGAGAGAGAAGAGAGAGAGAGAGAGAGAGAGAGAGAGAGAGAGAGAGAAAGAGAGAGAGAGAGAGAGAGAGAGAAAGAGAATCACACACACAGAGTCCCATCACAAGCCCATCACGGCCACCCTATCCCAGAACCCTCCCAGTAAGATCGCATAACCGGAAGGAATTACTAATTAAGAACAAATATCAAGAAAATTAACAAGAAATAAGGAAATGATTACAGAGGGTAATTAGTCACGGTTGTCCTGACTTCGCAATTTAGTCATCATGCTTATTTTTTTCTCCGTGAATTTTCATTTCAAGAAATCCATTGTCTTGTTCGACGAGATGGCAGACGTCGAGAAAAAAAGAGGAAGTCACGAAGAAAGTTGAGAATGGGGATTTTATTTATATTTATGTTTAGTATTTTTATGTATGTTTTTATTGTTGTTATTTCATCATTATCATTTTATCATCATTAATATTTTCATTATTATCATCAGCATTGCATTAATATTTTCATTATTATCATCCTCATTATCACTGTCATCATCATCTTTATAACCATCGTTATTATTACTACTATTGTTATTATAATATCATTATCACCGTTATATTATCATTTTATCATTACTATCATCATCATTATTATTTACTGTTATTATTATCATCATTATTATCATTATTATTATCACCATTGCTTTTAATATCATTACTATTGTTGTTATTGTTATTAGTGATAGTAGTTCTAATATCTTTATCATTTTTTCATTATTATCACCACCATCACCATCATTATTTCACTCACCATAATCACTGAAACATACAATAAGGCCCTCCACAAAAGAAGAGAGAAGAGAGAGAGAGAGAGAGAGAGAGAGAGAGAGAGAGAGAGAGAGAGAGAGAGAGAGAGAAGAGAGAGAGAGAGAGAGAGAGAGAGAGAGAGACAGAGACAGAAGACAGACAGACAGACAGACAGACAGAAAGACAGAGAAAAGAATATTCATTCAAAACCTGAATATTTATTGAATAATTACGAACGTGCCGACATATCCAAAAGAAAAGAAACTCAATACCTTTGTGGTTAATTTCTGATTTTGAAAAGCTTGAGTGTCGATGTGGTGTCTGATGATGATGATGACGGTGATGATGATGGTTACGGTGAGATTGGTGATGGTGATGATAGTCATGGAGATGGTAACTGTAGTGGTAGTGATAGTGATTTGATGGTGTTGGTGATTAGAAGGATGATGGTGATGATGATGATGATGATGATGATGATGATGATGATGATATTGATGATAATGATCGTGGTGGTGACAATGATGATAAAAATCATAATGATGGGTGTGATTTTCGTTATGATAATGGTGGTGACGATGGTATTGAAAATAATGCTTGTGGTGGTGATGGCGATGATTTTGTTGATGATGGTGATGGCGATGATGGTAGTGAAGATGGTGATGATAATGGTGATGATGAACAGGAGGAGGAAGACAAGATGAGGATGAAGGTACGAAGGATAAGGATGAGGAAGACGATGATAACGATTATACAACGGTAATGACAACGATGATAAGCCCAACGGAGAGACCAACAAAAACACAAGAAAAGGACAAAAGAAAGAGAAAAAAAGGGAAAGAAGAAGAAAAAAAAAAAAAAAAAAAAACATGGACAAAAAAAAAAAAAACAAAAAAAAACAGACAAGAAAAAAAAAATACAAGAGCGAAAGAAATAAAAACATAATAAAAAATAAAACAAGGGCAAGAAAACAAATCCAAAAAGGAAATAAAACAACGACAACAAAATGTAAACAAGGGCGAAAGAAATAAAAAAAAACAAAAAAAAAATAAAACAAGGGCAAGAAAAAATGTAAAAAAAAAAAAAAAAACAAGGCCAAGAAAAAAAGAAAAAAAGACGCAATATAGAGAAAGAACAAGCCACGAACAACAAGCAAGAAATACAGCAAATAAGAGACAGAGGG